TATATATATATGACATGATTAAAATCTACAGGAACCCATGGCCAGAAATGTCGTCATGATCGGCTAGGGGCACTTACCTTTATGAGACTTTTTTGCAATCGAAGAAACTGTTCATCATATTGAAATGTCCTTAGAAGCGTATAACAATATTTTTTGGGCATGGGTTCTATGCAATTTTAATCCTGATGATCTGCCTTAACTCCCTTAGAAATTTATTGCAGCATTTAAGTGATCTTCTGCAATGAATAACGTATTTAAACTTGTACATATCGACAACAAATAAACTAAAAATGTAATTTTAAACAAAATATGTAGCTTAGGAAGACAAATTTATTGCAGATTTGAATTCAGTTACGTGAAAATATTAAATATCCATTAAAAAAGATCTCGAGCCACAGAAAACAAAAACAAAAAATTTTCTCCTGTTTTGTTTGTTAATAAAACTTAACGTATTTCTATAAGCAATTTAAAAAATATTGATTTGTTGCTTGTCTTATTATCAATCATTATTACAAGTAACAATTATAACAGAATAAAATATCATATTTACAGTTAAAATACGGATAACTAATTTCTCAATTGTCTAAATATAGCATAATTGCTTTCAAACCTGCTTTATTAACAAAGTTGCCATTCAATTTGTTAGTATTACAAGCAGATTATATTAACTTTTTTCTTAGTAAAAATTTTATTTGATTATAAAGTGAAATTAGTAATATCTTCATTGAAGTTCTGGAACAACGTTCCGCCCCACTAAAAAATACTGGATCGTCCTACAGTTCATTCCAGCCCCGATATACCATCGCTTGAGAGAAAGAGAAAAATAATAAATCGAACAAAAATATCCTTATGAAATAAAAGCATTTAGTTAAAATAATAAACAAGACAAAAATTTTTACTTACTAAACATTATAGAAAATAATGTCAGGAATGTTTTAGTCAACACTATTAAAATACTTTTTTGTCATTTGCATCAGTCGCTTAAAATATCAAATCGTTGAAATTATTGGAAAAAAAAAGTGGGTACCCTTTTAAATTGAATATGATGAGGAAATCAACACTTTTAATCAATGACATCCTTAGTCTGCATTGTAGAACGATTTTTTTTTCATATAGTTGGTTTGTTTATTATTGATAACCACTCTCTGGTTTGACAGAAAATTAATGAATAAACATTTATTTTACTTATTTATCAATTTTTATAAAAAACCCACGCAATCCTCTCAAAATCCTTTTTCTTTCTGCTTAAAAGTGCTTATTTAATATCTAAAATGATGAGAAAAATTCTTTGTTATAAATTTCAATTCATTCTATAAAATTAATTTATAAAGTAAAAAATATGATAAAGATAACTGATTTTTCTTAATTTCTTCCTTTGTTAACTCTTTCGCGTCGACTGTCACGTGTCAGAATGGAATTGGTAGCCAAACTATTTTTTTAGCTGTTTAAGCAGCGGGAAACAGTTTTACCGGAAATATAAAAGTTTGACTTATTTAATCCACCACTACTTAGTTTATATTTATAATTTATAACCTTCGTTGAACATCCGACCCAATTTAGGGTTTACGACTACTAGTGTTCAACTCCGCAGCCTTGTAATTTTGAACCCAATCCGGAAGACAAGGAAACTCCTGGATAAGCACCCCCAGAGGTATGATTTGTTATGGGAACTTAGAGGACTTTGCGACTCGACAGATTTAACGTGCATCAGTCACCATTTACGACACGGGGAGTCTTCGGCCGGCGGAGATCGAACCCTCGACCTTTTGCACATGGCCCAGTGCCCTACGAACCAGGCTATCCCTACCACTACTTAGTCTATTTAGCCATTATTAAAATTAAAATATTAATCGTTTATTTTTTACTAGTTTCATACGTCCCCGTTTTTTGATGACGTTTTATTTTCACGCATCACCCGTCACATGTTCGATCACAACCTCGATCATGTTGTACACATTTTCACGTTATTTTTTCGGACACAATCATTCCGTATATTTCTATTGCTCGAGACCAACTCCGAATAGGCGAAAATTACCATAATTAACAATTTTCTCCTGTTCTTATCACATTCGATAGGTATTAAGAAACCTATTTTCCCAGTACTCATAGTAAGTATCGTGATATATTATTTAAAACACTAATGCGCATATATGTATGCAGTCAGAAAACCAATGAAGTTTTTTTTTCTCGCATTAGCAACGAAGAACTGAAAGAAACTGCATATGCTATAAGCTGTAAAGAAATGAGATGATAAAAGTTAATTGAATTCAAACATTGAAACTCGGTTAATGTTTGCATTAACTATACTTATTTACGCGTGTTATATAAGAATTTAGAGCTTTATTTTAGTGAAAATTCAGTATTCGTTGACCCAATTTCGAGATTACTACTACCAATATTAAACTCCGTAGCCTTGTCGCTTTGAACCGAATCCAGATGACAAGGGAACTTTCTGGATCAAATATTGGAGAAATATAGTATTATACAGAACATTTTGATGCAAATAACCCGTATTTGCGCTGCACGGAGAGAAAAACCACAAAAACCTCCCACGGTTTAAAGGTTGACAAGGTGACTCTAACACGTGATTCATCTACCCCTGAGGATATCTTACGTCAGCACAGATTCGAACCTAGGTCAACTCATTGGAAGGCGGGCACCTTATCCCCCGCGCCACCACTGCTCAAAATTATTAGATTATTCAAGAGAACACAAGACGCAATCAGTTTATATTTCATTTATTGAACCCAGACGCAATTGCTACAAAAAATAACCAATACAAAAGTTGATCCACTAAATGCGCAAAATTTTGCCTCGATTGAGAACTGAGCAGGTTTATCCTAACAGTTATGTTAAGATTTGTTAACATCAGAAAAATTTAATTTTAATATTACTGCCACTGTTATAAATCTTCTAAAAAAATTTGGCATTTAAGAAACTTCGAACTATTTTTTAACTGTTTTTAAACCTAGCGTTAACCATTTAATAAAATAAAATTATTAAATAAAACTATAAAAAACATTATTATAACTAAAAATATTCAAGTTAAATTATGTAAAAAAAACATGAACAATGCATTAATAAAAAAAATTCAACAATTAATGAAAATAAATATAATTATCTTACATACCGAAAGGAAAGGACAAAATTGATACTATAGTTGCAATGAGCATGTTTGGGATATTCTTTCCCCGCTGAAATCAAAGTTACAACTGATACAATTTACAATACTAAATCAAACTACATTCATAAACTAGCTCCAAGGTTAAATGGCGTAAGTTACTGAAGATAAGTAAAGATTAAAGAGTAACACTTTAAACAGTTTGAACCAGTATAAAGATTAAAGTTATAATTTCTCACAAATTCATAAAATATTTAGAATTGCAAAATAAATTTATATTGTATATTTCATTTTACTATAAAATTTTCTTGTGTGTGGTACAAAATAAGATTGATGCCCATTTCATTGTCTTTCGGATAGCTTTGGTTTATTTTTGTATCGGTTTATCTTATTTTATAACACTTTTTTTTTCTTCGTGATAAAAGGACTTACATAACATATCGAGATAAAATTCGACGAAACTCATCGTTTTTTTTTCATTTTAATCACGTTCTTAAACTGGAACGCTACTTTTAAAAAGCAACGAGTGAAAGAACAAGTACTTTAAACAAAAGTAATGAATAAAAAGTTTTGATTTTAAAAAGTAACGAGTAAAAAATACGAGTAAAAGTACAACTACAAAACAAAAAAAGTAACGATTTCAAAGTACAATTCGAGGACACCAGAAACTCCAAGTAATCTAAAATTTCGTTTGAAAATATTTAAAAAAAACTATTTAGAATGCATTAAATTTTAATTTAAAGCTATAAAACTTTAAAATGTAGGAAAATGTTACAATATTCTATAAAAGTAGTGAGCGCTGAAATAAGCCAAACGAGAAATCAAAAGTCAATGTTTGCATATAAAGAGGAGTTTTGAGTTTTAAATCATGCTAATTCAAAAACAATTAATTTTTTAGATGTTCAGTTTTTACATTTAGAAATTTTAGTAACAAATTAATTTCGTGAAAAAATTTGATAACATTATAACTTTTGTTCAAAGAAATAAGTGAAACAAATTGTATTCATGCACAGGTAGTCTTACAATAAATAATTTATTGAAATATATAAAAAATTTTAATTAATTATAATGTCAGATTCATAAATTGCTTCTTTTCTTATTATTTCAGCAGTCTCAAGAAGTAGTATAGCTCTTTATCATGTTGATCTACCTTTATGTGACGCCACATATTTTAACACATTGCTGACCGGCAACTTTTGTGGAAGTAAAACAATACAAATAAACTTCATACATTTTTATTTATTATTCAACTCTTAATATTTCTTTTTCGTATGATAAAAAGTATAACTATCACCTACGTGTAATGGTATACCACAAGTTTTGCAAATATATCGGGTTTTGTAAAGTTATAACAAATTAGTAAAGAATCTATCTATATTATATAAAACGCTAATACGTACGTATGTATGTATGTATCAATAAAACCGATGATATTTCTTTTCTCGCGTTGGCAGCAGTTTTCATTTTTAATTGATAGGCTTCGGCGCGCAAGAGCCCATAGTGAGCATCATATGGCTAATGTATATTACATAAAACGCTAATACGTTTTAATTGATAGGCTTCGGCGCGCAAGAGCACGTAGTGAGCATATCATATGTCTAATCGGGTGAATTCTCACCGAATTATCAAAAAAATTCTCACAAAATTATCTTCATCGAAGCCGATGCTTTACATCCGGCGTTCAGTACTATTTCATATTGTTTTACAACACATGGTNAAGTTTTGCAAATATATCGGGTTTTGTAAAGTTATAACAAATTAGTAGAGAATCTATATTATATAAAACTCTAATACGTATGTATCAATAAAACCGATGATATTTCTTTTCTCGCGTTGGCAGCAGTTTTCATTTTTAATTGATAGGCTTCGGCGCGCAAGAGCCGGTAGTGAGCATCATATGGCTAATCTACATTACATAAAACGCTAATACGTTTTAATTGATAGGCTTCGTCGCTCAAGAGCACGTAGTGAGCATATCATATGTCTAATCGGGTGAATTCTCACCGAATTATCAAAAAAATTCTCACAAAATTATCTTCATCGAAGCCGATGCTTTACATCCGGCGTTCAGTACTATTTCATATTGTTTTACAACACATGGTTTTAGCCCTCTGGTGGGAAAGACTTTAAAACAAAACTTACAACAGTTACTTTTCTCAACAACTGAAATTTAGAATAGTGTGATTAAGAAAAATATGTGAACTGTTTGCAATTTCAAATTAATATTGAGATGCACAGGTTTAGAATTTTCTACAGTGAAAAGTTTTCGGAACTTCAGTGTTCAAAAAAGTATACAAAAGCTAGACGTTAAGAACGTATCCCCAATGCGCGAGCAAAGCGAGCATCGGATTGCAAACAATCCGAAATGAACTGCGAAAGCAGTTCAGGGGGTAGGCGAGCGCGAGCGAGCAGGTGGCGAAGCCTCCTAGTTAGGTAGTAAAACTTGAAAAGTAAGGAAAATTAAGATCACTTTTTAAAATAGTCACCACGAGATCACTGCTAATACGATTGCTATGCCTCGTGACCGGTCACCAACGCTTGCCCACGAAAACACAAGTTAACTCGTGACCGGTCAACAATGTGTTAAGAGTAGCAACGCGAGAGAAGTGTGTTTGTTCCTGAGAATTGCAAAAGGGGTTGTCCGCTTCAAGTTGCTTTATGGATTTTAACGAAAAATGTGGGTAAAATGATTTTAATTTCTGATTTTCAGTCTATAAGCACACTTTTCAATCTAAAAATTCTTTGTTTTTACAAAAAAAGCAAGAAACGAAACACAACAGTACAACAATATGTTAATAAAAAATTTGTTGGGAAATTTGCTGTTAGGTGATAAATCCTGGTAAGCCTGTTTGAACATTTAAACCAACATCGCATTTAATGGTATAAAAAAATAAACCTTTTATTATACACTAAGACATAAACGGAAATGAAAGGAAAGTAAAAAAGCACGTACTAGTCAAAAGAAGCAAAAGCTGCACTGCTGTGATTTACTTTCCGGAAACTCCTACCATTTTCCAGCCTGAAAATACTCTCAAAGTCATTCTATTCAATTCCAAAGCAGGCCTGAAATGGAGACGGAAAGTACTGGTAGGAGAACTATTTCAATATTTGATAATATTCGAGTGGAGTTAATTTATTCTTAACAGTAAATAATTTACTGTAATTAATTTTTTCTCGGCGAAGAAACAATTCAATATAAAAAATTGTATCCGTTAAAAATAATTGGTAATTATGAATTTTAATTATTCCCGAAAAAAAGCTAAAAAATGAAATTGATTAGTTACCAGTTTTTACTCATTTCCGCCTTGATATGTATGGGCTTTCAGCCCTGTTACAAATTTTAGGGAGTAGTTTTACTGGTGGCTACGCATGCCAAAGCGCACTCCAGAAAGGTGTATATAAACGCCAGTGGCAGTTAACGCATCGGCTTTGTCCCGCTCTGAACTACCATGTTTGCCTGATGATTTGGCCTCACAAATGGAAATAGCCCCTAATGTGAAAACATATCCCCAGTATACAGACTCTTCTCCTATTTTGGTAGAAACCACTAGTTTTCCAACTTCGGAAACAACTGCCTCGACTACCAACCTTGAGACAGTTAATCAACTACACAACACTACAACTACCGAAACAGGTACCTCATCTGATGACAGGATTCTCGCGGTCCTTGGAAAGTTTTAGTAGTGGTAATCAATTATGGTTTATGCTAGAAGATAATTCTTATTTTTAACATACCACTTTAACGCCAAGTGGTTTAGACTCTCGGATTTCCATGCATATATGCTTTCTTTGAAAACTACTTTTTAGTTTAGTATTCTCGTTACCAGTTTTTAAAATTTTCAAAATCCGCGGAAATCGTGGATACGAAATCGAAGAAGAGGAAAAAAACTTGCACTACTGACATTGTGCAAGAATGTTCCTACTCGGCGAATCCACCAGACCCGAAAAGAAAAGTCAGCCAGTCCCCGAGGATACCACCCTACCTCCGGAGAAAACAACAGAGATTACAAATGCCTGCACACCCAGTAAAACTCATATGAAGCAAGGAACAACATCTAAAGCTCCAGTGTCAGTTGGGACTAGAAAACTTAAAGTTCTTATCTGAGAGCTGAAAAAGGATCTCAAAGGACCATATCTTGAAAAAGAACGTACAGATATCGGCATCCAGCCAAGCAAAACAGAGTAGATAAGAAAGAGTTGTGACCACCAATGATATAACCTCCTCCCCCTTTTCCTGATCATCCACGCGAATAATTCAGAACACAGAGAAATCTTCAACACCGACAAACTCCAGTCAACACATGTACGGATAGAAAGATTTCGAGGTGGTCTCTTTGAGATACAGTGCTATATGTGCCAAAAATTTGGGCTAACACGGAATTCCTGCTCAGGCGATCCCGCCGGTATGAAATGTGCTAGGGCATATTTTTCGTACCTTTGTACGTAACTTACCTTCTATGAAGATGTGGAGAGTCCACTTCGCGGACACGTACACCGTTCACAACTCCAACTCAAAGAAATTTTTGTACAAATATATTTCATAGCATACAGTGATGCTAATGAATGAATGAATATTGTTAAGAAAGAATGAATGTAATGAATATTATAATGAAGTATATGTGTATAATTTCAAATGAATATTTTCTATTCAGTTAACTCAGTCTTAAATTTAAGGAAATTTTTATTTTTGTACAAATATATTTCAATACATTTTTTCGTATTTATGAATAAGTTATGTTTATGAATGAATGAATGTAATGAATATTATAATAANAATCGCAGGCGACAGTGAGTTGCGGTAAGTGGAACACATCTGACAGACCTACGAGCATATAGACCAATGTGCCCTAAGCGTCTGCACACGGTCTGCCTTAAATATGTCGTACCGTTAGCTGAAGAGATCTGACGAGACAGGTCTGATGCTGTGCTCCGTCTGTTTCTTTTGGCAGTAACTACCAAATACCGGTCTTCATTCGGCGTTGTAACTCGGGGGCGACCTGTGCTGTAACGTCGACTCACATTACCATCACCTTGGAATCGCTGCCAAAGCCTGGAGAGGACACTGGGTGATTCCAAGTTCCTCGGATACTTCCAGCTGGGTACGTCCACATTCCAGTCGTCCGATGATTCTGCCACGTAAAAAATCATCCATATGCTTTCTTTGTGCCATAACTATGCGGTTATTGCACTGAAAGGCTTTTAAAGCGCTTTTGAACAATTTTACTTCTTTGCCACCATTCCTTATATACCCCTCTCTTACACTCTTGTCATTGTGACGTACTACCAGCGCCATCTAGTGGTTTCCTGTAATTTGCATATTCTTCTTCAGGAAGTGTGTGATAATTCTACAGGTGAAATTTTAATTTTAGAGTTTGATTTCCGTGTGATTCTGAATTATCCTTAATTTATGGACATGAGTGTATATTCAAAATGAAGATAAAACAAAGGAAAATTAAAGACAGATGATTATATCCGCAAAAAAAATTGATAGACCGCAAAATACATCTTTTTTGCGGATATAATTGTGTGGGCTGATGAAAAGATTATATCTTTCATTTTCCTAATTTTTTAAAAAAATTGATAATTTTTTTTCCCCTCAGTTTTTTTTTAATTAATTTTCTCCCCCCCCCCCTCTTTTTTTCATATGTCTGTAATTTTCCTTTTTTTTATCTTCATTTTGAACTTATCTAATGAGTTCTGTTTACTTGCAGCTTATGCGCAATAAATGAAACTTATTGTTTCTCTTAATTTTCTTCGTGTTTTTTTTTTGTATTTATTTATTTTGTTGCACATATGCATACATATATATATATTCAAATGAAAATTTTCCAAAAGAGTTAACACATTTTTAATCAAAAAAATTTTTATTTTTTTACAAATATATTTTAATGCATTCATAGTTCAAACATATGAATACAGTGTAAATAGGCTGGTGTATAAATTTTATATTTTATTCATTATGGTCCCTTTTTTAATCTTGCGGCTTTGGCAGTCGCTGAAGAACACCTTTTTTCCCATCAAGTAATATATAATCCCCTGAAAAATTGAAAGATTAATTTTTATTGAATATATTCTAAAGTAATTGAGCAGGCATTTTAGATAAAAATTATTGTTATTGTTAATTCAGAGATTTTTTTTCTCTATATATTCGTGATTCCTACAACAAATTTATGCCTAATTTATGCTTTTTACGCGAAATTTCAATTTATATAAGATGGTAAAAAATTCATACGCCCTATTTATAAATAGAGCAACGCTTAATTTATAAATACTTTTGTATTTATAAATTAATTTAAAATGATTTTGACCACCACCACATATAAATACAAATTAAACATGTATGTAAGCTTATAAGAATTAGCGGATTGGGTTTTTGAACCTTTGCTAAAAAATATTAACAAACTTTAACGTATGAACCAAGTCTCTGCTGTTGCTGTTGTTGTCATAGACAAGGGGTGAGATTATTCTTGTTTTCCAGTGGAGCCATATATATCCAGAAATTCGACTTCTGCCAATGCGTCACACCCATTTACAGGGGGGACCCATTCGTATATCCATTCATTCATTCCCAGATTGCAATTTTGACCTGAACCAGAGAACAATTAATCTCCAATTCAGTACTCCCAAAGGTATAATTTGTTATGGGAACATGGAGGACTTTGTGACCCGAATGATTTAACGTGAACCAGATACTACGGGGTTTTTTCGATCGGATGGATTCGAACTCGCGTTCTCATGAACTAGGCTGTCCTGGCCAGCAAAGTTTCTAATAGAGTCACTTATATTATGTTTACCGGAAAGTTTGGTCTGCAAAAGAGCACATCTTATTTTATAGTAATGCAAAAATATCTTTGTATAAAATATACAAGGTAGTGATTAGTTACCANGATTTTTTTTCTCTATATATTCGTGATTCCTACAACAAATTTATGCCTAATTTATGCTTTTTACGCGAAATTTCAATTTATATAAGATGGTAAAAAATTCATACGCCCTATTTATAAATAGAGCAACGCTTAATTTATAAATACTTTTGTATTTATAAATTAATTTAAAATGATTTTGACCACCACCGCATATAAATACAAATTAAGCATGTATGTAAGTTTATAAGAATTAGCGGATTGGGTTTTTGAACCTTTGCCAAAAAATATTAACAAACTTTAACGTATGAACCAAGTCTCTGTTGTTGCTGTTATTGTCATAGACAAGGGGTGAGATTATTCTTGTTTTCCAGTGGAGCCATATATGTCCAGAAATTCGACTTCTGCCAATGCGTCACACCCATTTACAGGGGGGACCCATTCATATATCCATTCATTCATTCCCAGATTGCAATTTTGACCTGAACCAGAGAACAATTAATCTCCAATTTAGTACTCCCAAAGGTATAATTTGTTATGGGAACATGGAGGACTTTGTGACCCGAATATTTTAACGTGAACCAGATACTACGGTTTTTTTTCGATCGGATGGATTCGAACTCGCTTTCTCATGAACTAGGCTGTCCTGGTCAGCAAAGTTTCTAATAGAGTTACTTATATTAGGTTTACCGGAAAGTTCGGTCTGCAAAAGAGCACACCTTCTTTTATAGTAATGCAAAAATATCTTTTTATAAAATATACAAGGTAGGGAATATACATATTCAAACTTGTAACGAAAGTATCCAACAGAACTAAATGGTACATCTGATATATACAAGAATCAAATCAACTATAGAAGAGTTAAATCCACAAGCCTCTGTCTATCGTTAATATTTTGCTCTCTTCTTGTCTCATATTCACACAAATGGAAAAAAAAACTGCAGTTCATACTTTTGTTTTCCCCTCACTAAACCTTTGCTCTGACTCTTCATCTTTAAACTTCGAGCTTAACTATTCCTCCGCTCGTTTACTGGTAACTGTTGATTTAACCCTTCTATAGTTCATTCAACTCTAGCTAAACTCACTAGACCCAAACACCCCGCTTATTCCATTATTTACAAAGAGCTTACTAACTTAATCGTTTCTTTTCATTTGTTATATGATAATATTCTCTCCCGTTTCGGTTTTAAACATTTTTAGGTCTGCCAATTAAATTAAATTTAAATCTCTTAAAGATCCTATTGACTTTGATATTAGGCGGGGCATTTAATGCATTATTTCTCAGTGCAGCCTCGGCTTAATCAAACACTGTGGTTTTTCTTGTTCTGCTTTTTTTTTCTCGGCTTCAGTGGTTTTTTCTAATTTTGTTTCTCACCTTTATTTCTTTTTCATTTTCGAGGGAAATTTATCGTTTGATATTTAAAATCGCTTTTGTTTTTTCTCATTCATATCTGGCAAATCTTGAAAATTGGCGTCTGTATTTGAACGTTTCAAACATGTCGACTATTATTTCCACTTTGTATATTTGTGGGCGAATTATGTTTCAATGAAATAACATAGGCTTTTTACTTTTACTATTAAAATTTGTAAAATATGAAGATGAAGTTCCGAAAATTCGAGTTCGAAAAGTTCCATTAACAAGTTTGATTTCTTACATATTTATAATTACCTGTTTTAAACTGCTTTGTGGCTCCTCGAAGTCCAACAACACAAGGCAGGCCATATTCACGACTCACAACAGCACCTGAGAATTAATTTGACTATAATAAAATGAAGATTTTGGATCAATATATTGATAAGCCTCATTTTCGTCAAATGACACGACTCCGAAATTTTCATTGAAAAATTTCCCACCATTCTCAATTCATGAATCATTTTTTTCAACTGCTTGGAAATTTAGTGTTTTTCTCCTAGAATGCTTCCATACATTTTTTTTAAAAAAAATCGAATATTTAAAACTTGATTTCTTGTGAACTATTTAAACGATTTCTTCCAAATGTTGTATTCTGTCACTTTAGCTATACACATTGTAAAATTATGTCAAAATCTGTATTTATTCAGCAAAATTTTTGTTTCTATATAATAAAAAATAATTATTAAAAATTATTTATTGTAGAATTTCCTTTTGGATAAATGAATCTTATATTTGAGAGCAAAAAGTGTTTTCAATCATTTAAAAAATCTCGAGATGTAAGGAAATACGCAAAAAATGGTAACTAATGTTAAGAGATCCAAATTTTCGATCGCTTTCCAGTCTAAAGTATTAAGTCTGTAATAATGGTTGACCGCATAAAGCTAAGCACAGATGGCGCTAGGGGTTAAAATTCATCGTAAGACATCCGGGTTACAACTTCCGACTGATTTTTACACCTAAACTAAAAAAAAAAATTTAAAAAACTCACCATCCAATATTAATATATTTGTAGTGTTTTCAATGTAACGCGTTCTTTCAATCTAACTTTCAACGAAACAAACAACAAATCAATTCAGTAGACTCCGCAATCCTGCTATTATGCTACCCAAAAAACAACAAAAGTTCTATTTTACACAAATATGGCCAAATAAGAGATAACACTCAAAACATGGCTAACCTTTCCCTTTAGTTATGCTTTGATATCAATTTTGCTAAATTAGTTTTACACTTACGACCTGTTGGAATTTATAAATTACAGAAAACTCTTATAAATGGTAAAATTACGCGTAAATTTAAAATTAACTGACAATAATTAAAATTCCTAGGATAGTAAAACTGTTCACACTTCGCCTCGAAAGCATAACATAAGCGGAAGGATACAGCAGAAGTTTTTTTAAATTTCTTCCGGCTTTAGGAAGCTTGTTATTGTTTATATTTAGTCAACCATCCATTCACCAGATTGCTCTAGTTCACACTTTATTTTGATGGTTAAGAATCGAATTAATTATTAAAAAAAAGGAATAACAGTTTCAAAGTAAGAAAACGTGTGTTTTTGTGTTAGATTTTATAATTGAAAATATCGTCAATACTTCTAAATTAGCAATTAACGAACCATTGAAATTGATTCTCAATTTGCAAACATCCAATCGGAATTTATTCAAGGTATTCATTTCTTTTTTGCATAGGACAAATTACTTTTTATTTCCTGACAAATTTGTAAACATGTAATAATAATAAAACACAATTAAATAAATGATAAGATTAAAATGGTTAGAGAAATATTAAGGACACATATTAAAGGGTCAATTGTTTATTGAACGCTAAAATTGTTCATATTTAAAAGACAGGTCCAATAACCCAAGTCAAAATTATTGATGGTCCCATTCCAATATTTTGATTATTTATGTTGGTTTCAGTTCAATTCATGATGGTCCAACATCATTTGATGTTCATCATCATCTAACACTTCCATTATGAGCTCATAGTTTTCGATATGCCAATAAACTTTCGTTATTCCATGGTGGAAAATCCTACTTTAGTAATATGATGGTTAAGCATTAGGAGAAGTTCGATTCTCATGGACAATCCGTGATAATCTGTGATGGTTCCAACTGCACATTTCCATGAGTTTTTAACGGGGATTCTGGTTAGTTCTTAGGAATATACCATCAAAACCATTTGTTTCTTTTCTTCCATGTTGGCCGATCATAAGTCAGTCCAAATTCCTACATTGAGGTGCTTCATGATCGTTCCAACAACTATGTTCGAAATTTCCGATGGTTCAACGTAAGCAAACCATCAAAACAAGTTGCTATTCTTATGTTGGACCATCATAAATCAGTCCAAATTCCTGGGATGGTTACATTGGGGTGATGGTCACTTATGTTGGTTAACATCAAAAATATAATGGTTCATGATGGAATTATTGATGGTTTCTATCAAGATTATGTTGGTACATCAATGGGAAACCATCAAAAATTTCGACTTGATGAGTATGACAATGTCATTTGCATATCCCTGAGTAAAGTAGCTGAAATGTTTTATTAGACTGTTTAATACCCGACTCCAAAGTAATGGTCATAAAACACCTCCTTGAGA